ATGACCGCACACACACTGACATAAGGTCCAGTTAATGAAAGCTGCTTGACAGTGCTTTACCACAGCTTTAAAAGTCCTATGAACCTCTGTTTGATATGTTGAGTAGGAAGGAGCCACACAGAGGCCTATACGAGATAACGTTAAGCCCCTGAGGTTCAGCAATCAATTTTTAGCGAGTCGCACGAAGTGACAGAATACAAAAAGCAATCACGTCCCTGCATGGATCTGAGCTGTCCACTGTCACCTGCTTAAACATTCAGAAGCGCTCTAAAATATTCTGATGTGCTGTTAAAACAGTCGACAGGCAGTGTTCTGTTCCTGTCTTCCTTTGTGTGTCTCTCCCCTCCTGTTTTGACTAACTTCAATCTAGAGGTAATGAGAGCCTAAGAAGCTGGAGACAGAGAAGCTATTTACATTTTTATTGATTTTTTAAAAGTGCATTTAACATTTTTTTCTCCCCTTTCCCCCACTCTTTTCAAATCCTCGAATGAGAGGCCCACTGCTCTGTTTACGCTCATTGAGGAGTGAAGATATTTTAGTCAGGAGCTCCTGCATTTTCTCCCTCTCTTTCAAAGCGGAAACTGGGTCTGTCTTATGTAATTAAGACTAGGCATTAAAGAAAACAAACCCCTGTGAATTCTGACTGAAGCCCCACCGGGAAATGGAGTATTTTTCATAATTAAAGAAGCACAAACAAGGCCTACTCAACAATCCACAATAGTTCTCAGTGGAGCATTATTGTTTCCTGATTTCCACAATGCTATTTGTCTGTCTGACTCCTCGAAGCCAAACCTTCTAGTTACAGTACGGCCATGACTGGAACTGTGTTGTTAGCATGTGCACATATTGTACTATGCAATTTTCCTTACTGGATCTGGATAATTTTTGACCACTTAGGACTGTAAGAGGACTAGGATGGAAAACCACTTTTTTTCTGGACTGAAGATGAAGGTTAATTTTTTTAATTATTGTATTATTTCTTGTAAAATTACACAATTTGGTAGGGCGTGCTAGATGACGCTGGTGTGTATCCATTATATGTTGCTACATAAAAATACATAAACACTAGAAAAAAATTGAACGTCATTTTATTTATTTAAAAACCTGTATCATTATTTTATCAAGCAAATTCAACAGGTGCCATATCTTTCCGCTGTACGTTACGTTAAATAGTCCCTGACGACTAGCTTGCTGGTGGTGCTAAAGTTGAAAAGAATTAAGCCAAAAATTAAAATTATGATTTACTCACCATAATGTTATTCTCAATCAACAGGACTTTCTTTCTTAAACCAAAGACCAAGGGAGAAGCTTTTCAATATTTGCTGCTTTCCATACGTAAACGGTCAGCGGGCTTTTAGGCATTAAAAATAACACAAAACACCATAAAAGTGGTCTATTTGAATCGTGTGCTGGTCTTCTGAAGTCATACCATAGCTTTGTGCGAGAAACAGACTGAAATGCAAATTGTTGGTGATGTTATTTTTTGTTCCCGGATCTTTGAGTGAGTGAAATGAACTCGGGAACCGAATCAGCGAATGAATCATTTAGACTGGCTTTGTGAACTGAATCAACCGATTCAATTAAAACTTCCGACTCAAAAGAACGATTCATTCATGAATCGGACGACACTGCTTGCTTGTTACAAGAATGTATGCAGGGAGATTTTCAAACATTCAGTGAATAACGACCTTAATTTAAGTTTTTCCTCACATAAATCTAATGTCACTTCATCAGACTTAAAATATAGTGCACAGGTCAGAAAAATGAAATGACCGTTAAGTTACGCGACTGCGCCGCTTTCTGTGTTAAAGGCGGGCGTACACGGTGCGATTTTTGCTGTTGTACGAGCTCGCAGGCGATTTTTTTATCTCGGGAGAAAATCGCAGATGCTCGCATGGTCGCGGCTCGTACCGTGTGAGAAGAATTACGGGCCGATCCGAGACGTTACGAGCACCTCCCGTCCTCCCGATAATTTTCAAACATGTAAAAAAAAATCGGATGCTGTCGGTTTAAATTCGTGGTGTATGTGCGGTTGAACGAGAAGATTTTGCGATCCATCTGAAGTTGACCAATCAGAAGATGACAAAAACCATATAGTCTATAATAATTTTAGTTTAATTATACAGTTCTATCTTTTATTTGTTATTCCGAATGTGCCAAATTTGCCATTCAGCTTTATGAATGAATATGCCTGTTGTATTTCCGGCAAAACGAGCAGAAATTCAGAAACGGCCTAGGCTACTCCCTCTAGTTCTTTATGAAGAACAGAAAGTCCATGCTTTTCTCTGCTTTTCAGCCATTCTCTTAGCCATGTACTTTGTCTTTGTTGTTTTTTTGGACGTCACAAGCCGCCTGCCACAAAGAAAACTATTTCGTCCTCAGAATCCATATTTTTATGAATGGCGCGAAACGTAATGCTTACGTCAGAGTTTGTAAAATCGTAGTAAATTCGTGTCGTGTGTGACTGCCTCCGTACGATTTTCTGATAAACTCAATCGTGACATGTGCCAGAGCTCACGACGTTCCGACCTTCAGAATCGCACCGTGTCCGCCCGCCTTAAGACAGGAGAAAGCAGTATCTCGGAGAAAGCGCGTGCAGATCAGAGGAGTGCAGTAAAGAAAGAAGATGGGCTACAAACAAACCCAGGTGTTTATGATTTTTTTTCTTTTGCAGACTACGCTTTAACTTGGATTAATATTTTAGCTATATAATTAGATTGATCTGATCATTATAATGCGATTTGACTGCTTTAATTTCTACACTTTATTAAAAGCTTATTTTAGACATCTGCAAACTATTTTGCAAATAGTTTATTTATGAAAAAATGCACATATCCGCATTAGAATTATCTGTCTGTTGGTGGTCATCACTCAGAAACATATGCAAAATTTTTAATGAGTTTACATGGTTATGAAAACAAAACTAAAAATAACCTGCAGGGAACGTTCGGGAAATGTTCTCTTCAAATGACCGTCCTAAAATAATCTGCAGGCAACGTTCTGGGAAGGTTCTTAAAAAAGAACTTGCAGGGAACATTCCTATAGAACGTTCTTATTTTGTGCCAAAAAAAGGGGGGAACATTAGGGGAATGTTCTGTTTGTTGGGTATGAAATAGAGCTGCTTTCTTGACAACCCCCTCACAATTCACTTCTGTTTTATTAAAAAAAAGATTGATCAGGATAATCTTCAAAATGAACAGAAGCCATACTGTTTTGGAACGAAATGAGAGTATGTTAATATGACAATTTTCCATTTTAGATTAACTATCCCTTTAATAATTGGTCTATGTGGGTGTTTTGCACTGATATAAACATTACTTGAACTGTTTTATCAGTTTTATAATGAGTTTTTCATTTCTCTCAGGGCTGATGTGGTTTTGTCATTTGATTCACCTTTTCGCACAAATCTGTTTTTGACACAAATGTACAGTAGCCTATATGCTTTGAAATGGTAGCAAGTCTTCCCTTTGCTGTTCAGTGTATTTGCTGAATATCTTTGTTAAAATAACAGTCTATTCAGGTAACCCTGAATTCAGAGAGCACTGCAGAATGGTGCTCAGTTCAGTGAACAATAGGTCCAATCTGCTCATGAACTGAAGATTTTTCATCTCTCTCTGATCTATCTGTCTCTAAAGGCTGGATTAGCAGTGTTTTGTCATATCTCACTGTGAATACAGGAACTTACAGGCCGTCATTCTTAAAGGACTTCGGTTTATTTTAGATCGCTCATTGTTAAAGTGCTCTTAAGACAAATTGCAGCAGTTACCCATAATTCCCTTTGTCCTGATCCTACAGAGCCTTTTCTCTTCCATTAGAGTCAGCAATGCTTTATTAGCATGATTGTTAGAATTTACAGTATTGACAGAGCATACTGCTGTACCGAAATAGACAATTCAGAAAATAAATAAGGTAAAATAGAGAAAGAAATAAAGGAGAAAATAAAAGAAAGAGACAAGGAATACATAAAAGGAAAACATAAAAAGAAATAGTAAAGTTAATAAGAAAGTACTGAAGGAGTGATTTAAAAAAGGGACAAGAAAAATCAAATCAATTAAGTAAATAAAGGAATATAATGGGAACATAAATGAAAGGACAAATAATGGGAATATACAAGAAAGGTAGTAGAAAATAAAAGCAAAAAAAATTTAACTTAATGTAGGACAAATTGAAGGAAAATAAAAGGAAGGGACAAGGCATAAATAAAAATAAATAAATAAATAAATAATGGTATGTAAATAAAGAAATAATGAAGGAGAACTTTTAAAAATGGACAAGGAAGAAATATAAAATAATAAATTAAGTAAAGAAGAATACTTCAATGGGAACATAAAATAAAGGAACAAATAAACTAAATCAAAAGAACTGAATGAAAAAATAAAGGAAAGTGACAAGGAAAACAAATAACAGAAAAAGTAATAAGGTTAATATACTGTAAGAACAATGTAGGAAAAAAAAGAGACAAAAATATTAAAATCAGATAATAAAATTTGGTATATATACCTGTACAAAATATGTGTCTCATCTCTCATATATATCTCACTCCCTCATGCAGGGGCGTAGCCATCATTTCAGAAGTGAGGGGGACAGATCTCGCTTATTCTGGGTCCGAATAAAACATCAGATCATGCACAGTCTATCCTGTCTCTTTGAATTTAAATCTATATTTATTCACACCGGCTCTTGAAAACCTCTATGCGAACACACTTGCCCGAAAAAGTGCGGGGGACGAATTTACATGATATTAAAAGTGGGGGGGACACATCCCCCGCGTAATCTACGCCCCTGCCCTCATGTCTTTTCTCTTCTGCTTCTAAAGCACTAGCTCATCTCATCCTCCCTAAGGAGTGTCTGCGGTGTCTACATTGAAATGCATGATGAATTATGTGGCAATATAAGGGGACCATGAAAGATGACATGCATGAGATAATGATTGTAAATGTAGATCCACGTGGCGAGTCAGGAGTTTTTGTTTGTTTACTAATGGCTTTGTCTTTCGACAGAAGGAGGGACATGCGAGGTGATTGCGGCACACAGGTGCTGTAACAAAAACAAGATTGAAGAGAGATCTCAGACAGTGAAGTGCTCCTGTTTACCAGGGAAAGTGGCAGGAACCACCAGGAATAAACCCTCCTGTGTTGACGGTAAGTGAATAGACATGGCAACCATGGATGCAGTCTTAAAGGAATAATTTACACCAAAATGTAAATTAGCTGAAAATGTACTCACATCCAAGTCATCCAAGATGTAGGTGAAGATTTGTTTCTTACTTGTGCCGCCAGAATGTCCAAAACAGTCCAAACAGCTGATAAAAACATCACAATAATCCACAAGTAATCCACACCACTCCAGTCCATTAATTAACATCTTGTGAAGTAAAAAGCTGCATGTTTTTAATAAACAAGTCCATCATTAGGACGTTTTTCATCATTAAGTCCACTATCCATAAAATTGCTTTCTTCAGTGAAAATACCATCTCGTCTGAATCAGGAGAGAAATATGCACAGACCAATCACAGTTTACAAGCAAAAATAGTCCAAAACAGTTCTAAACAAGTATGTATGTTGGTGGATTTTAATGTGAGAGGACAACGTAATGGATTATAGTTTTTGTTTAGATTTTTGTTTTGGCCAGAAATGACAGTTTTAAGTGAAAATGCCTTAAAGGGGTCAAATGACGTTGCTAAAAAAGAACATTATTTGGTGTAATGAAATGTGTTTATGTGGTTTAAGTTTCAAAAAACACATTATTTTCCACATACTGTACATTATTGTTTCTCCTCTATGCCCCGCCTTTTTGAAACGCGTTGATTTTTACAAAGCTCATCGGTCTGAAAAGCGAGGTGTGCTCTGATTGGCCAGCTATCCAGTGCGTTGTGATTGGCCAAATACCTCAAGTGTGTGACGGAAATGTCACACTACCACATTGTGATGCCCTGTACGGCCGGAGCGACGAGACAAAAACATTAAAACCCATTATAAACGAGGCATTTGTTGCATCCAGTGGGGACATAATTACGGATTATAATGACTTATACTGTATTTTTACGCGTTGTGTTGCATCGCGCCGTGTAAACATAAAACCATGTCTGCATTTTTTAACTCTAACCACCATGTGCAGGACTGAGTCTACAAAGTACTTAATTACTGTAAGTCTAGTTGAAGGAACTGTAGTAACTGTGACATTTCAAATAAGACTACCGTGAAGACGCTCTGTTCCTTTAAGTATTTATCCTGTGGTGTGTTTGTATGTATGGTCAGTGAATGTCAGCCCTTGGAAACACTGTGATACAGAGAGATCAGTCTTATCCAGAATTCAAAACTGTGGTGAGAGATTTAAACAAGAGTTTTGCATAAGGCTCAGATCTGACTATAATGATGTTCTATCATGGAAACAGCTGAAACTGGCGAAGTTGATGTATTTCCTCAGCGACCAGCACGGATCAGCTCCAGGCATGACGAAGCGATATCGTCCTCTTTTGGAAGGCCAAACAAAGTAGTTTCGCTTTCACAACAAAACACAGCATCTTCACGACGTGGCGGCAGCAACAATACTACTGCGAGAATAAAAGTTAAGCCTTCTTTCTTTGTGTGAACATTTAGGCGGCGTTATGCAAATCTTCCCACATAGTGAGGTAGACGTGGGGGCGTGTTAGAACGAGCCGTTTTAGGTAGGCGTGGTTGACTTTTAACTTTTATAAAGAATATCTCTTTGGATTTGAGACTTTAGTCTTTGCAACTTTACAGATCTTCTTTATGCACCAAGAGCTTGTAACACTCCAAAGAGAAAGGAAAACTTGAAATCGCATCATATGACCCCTTTAATGATGGGTTTGTTTGTTACAAAAATGCAGCTTTTCCCTTTCACTAGATGCTAATTGATGGACTGGAGTTGTGTGAATTATTGTGATGTTTTTATCAGCTGTTTGGACTCTCATTCTGACAGCACACATTCACCAAATCTGTTCTGACCAAGAACTAAACTCCTATACATCTTTGATGTCATTTGTTTTATGTTGTTAGAAATGTAACAGATGCTCGACTGTTTGAACTATCTCAATGCAGCTTTGCAGTGTGTGAACAGGCTTGCACAGTGCAGCTGTGCTTAAAACACACTCTGTGCAGCTGTGTAAAGCTGCAAGGTGCTCCAAAAGACTGTGGAGCTTTTTAAGGTGTGGTATGTTTGAAGAAACTCTGTTCAGGGTCGCTCTTGCAGTGTCCCTGCCCTAGAAAAGCTCAGATCCTCAGGGCTTTTCATTATTAATGCTCTGTCCTTATGACAAACGAGCTGCTGTAAACTAACACTTCTGGGAGAACATCTCACTCGCAACGCACCCAGAGATAATCAAAGAACATTAACTTTCACTGAATCTCGCGGAGGAGCATCCAACCTTTTCCCCATTTCAAGCTCGTTAGGATATTCTATTCCCAAAGTTGAAAATGTGTCATTTTTTGGATATTAAAACCAAGCGGCAACCTCCCGCTCTCTCTCGTGATGCCAACAAGGAAGTGACTTAAACTGTAATTCATCAACTGGCCGCTAGAGGTTGGCTGCAAAAGGGAGTCAATCCCATAGACTCCCCATGTTAAAATGCCCAACTTTACAGCAGAAAAAAAACATGTTTATAGCCTGGTTCAAAAAATGATTTTGGTTTATATAGCTAATTTTGCCCTTCATGACAACTGTGAGGGGGGTGAATTTTTTTATAAGTCATCCGTTTAAATTATATTAAGCCTTAAAGTTCTGCATAATTAAGGGCGTGGCCACTTGAGTGACAGGTGGATTGCCGCTGCTGTCACCACCGTCGAGCTAGGTGGGCGTGGCTTCAGCAACCAGCTCCCGCCTTTTTGCCCATTTTCGATTATCCGGGAGTGACGTGCTGTCAAGATGGCGACGGCCGGCTCTGCCCACTTTAGGCTTCAAAAACCTCTTCAGGAACCTATGGGTGACGTCACGGACACTACGTCCATGTTTTTATACAGTCTATGATTAAAACACCTAAACGCTTAGCTTTAAGGGATTCTAGCATCATTTACTCATCGTCATGTCGTTCCAAACCTGTGACTTTCTTTATTCTGTGGAAAGGAGATGTTAAACAGAATGACAGCATCAGTCACCATTCGATGTCATTGTATGGAAAAAAGATGAACGGTGACTGAGGCTGTATTTCATTAAAAAGCAAGGGCTAAATCAAGGGTTAGCATCATGATTTGAAAAAAAAAATTCTGTACAAACTCTGCAAGACATAAATATATAGGCAGTTGCTGTTTCCATCTTTAAAGGCCGTAGTGTGTTGTCTATTCTGGTCTAATAAAGTTCAGAGGCAGAGGTGTGTGTGTGGATGGGACTTTTTCCTGATATTTGTGTGTGTGTGTGTGTGTGTGTGATTTCTGTAATTGATATGTTACCCAAAAAAAAAAGAAAGAAAAAGAAAAATACACAAGGATGGTCTGTGCTCTGAAAAAGTCTTGATTTTGTAAGGTCCACGCACTTGGCCCAAGGAAGGTATCCAGTGGTGGATGAAGGTTTCTCGCGTGTTCGGTCTTTTCAGCGCGTAAAGTTATTCAATTTAGGTTTAACTCAAATCTGACTCCATTTTATTATCTAATCTGGCTCCATTTTAGTATGACCTCGAATTTAGGTTGAAAGGCAAATTGGTTGTTTGTCTGTCTTTAATTATTACTATTATTCTGACATTTGATTATTCTAGTTAACTCTTTACTTTATATTTACTCGTTCATTAGGAATCTATGTCGCTTAGGATGCCTCACGGCATCTATGCGTGGGCTCCACGATCACCTGATGTGCGCCATGTTCCATCTAACCTGAGATCTAGTATGCACTTAACCCTAGACGCAGAGTTGCGGAAACATACGCCTTCACTTAATCTACTTGAGAAAATAATTTCAGAGTAAGTCAGAATAAATCACTGTATGTTAATGCACTGTGTGTGTATTGTCTGTCTCAGAAGATCAAAGTATCTGAGTTTCTTTTATCCTTACAATTTATTTAAAGCAACGGGAAAAAGCAAAGGCATTTGGTCCAAAGATGCCTTAACTTACTTGGAATTTTATATTGTTGCTGGTTTACCTTTAAAAAAATACAATTTCTGCCAAGAAAGTAATTAAAAAACAATGGCAAAAAAATTCTGGAAGCTTTATCCACATTTTTAAAGGTATCCCATATAATGATTTTATATAATGATAATGAAACGGTCATTTTAACTGAAGTAATTAAGTAATACATTTATTAAATGTAATCCTTCCTACATTCATTTTTAAAGGTATCCCATATAATGATTTTACGATTTGAAACGGTAATTTAAACTGAAGTAATTAAGTAATACATTCATTAAATGTAATCGTTCCAGCAGTAACTGCAAGTAACGATAGGCTAATATATTATATATATACAGATTCTGCCAAAAAAGTTATTTAAAACAACGGCAGAAAGATTCTGGAAGCTTTAACCATGTTTTTGAAGAAGTTCCCATATTATTATTATTTCTTATAACGGATTATTAACTGATTATGATTACTTTCGAATCTTATGAGTTATTTAAATAATCAGTTTTAACAGAAGTAGTGTTAGTATTTTATATAAACTTAAATAATATAAACTAATATTTGTAATAATGTATTTAGTTTTTGCAGCAGTAACATTAACTTAAGTGACTATTTACATTAATTTCTTAATTATTTTCATTTATTATGGTCTTGCAGCAGTAACATTTACTGAAGTAGCTATATAATATTTTAGCAGTAACTAGGATTAAAAATGCTACATTTTGTTGCATTTTATGATCTCTGGTTCCTAGTTAAACCGAGATGACACATTTACTGAGGTGTCACTGAGATGATGGCCATTGAAACTGGTCCATGTTCTCGTTCTCCTCTCATCACATTGATATTCTAGGATATGAGGCTGAAGGCTAACTCTCTCTCTCTCTGTCAAAGGAGTACATGACATCGAAGGCCACATGTTATGTATGAGACTTTGTTTACTTTTTGGAGGATAAGAGGCCTCAGTAAAGTGAATTTTTATCAAAAAACAGAGCTCTTGCCTGAGGTTATGTTTTCCATGGATTTTTTTTTATTGCTCTGTGTCCAGTCCATGCTGAACTGGCAAAAACGGGAAGGAACAGTGTTAGGTTCGCCTCAGCCAGTGCTGTGACTATTACATGCGTGCAAAGTCTATAAAGCATGAATGTTTGTTCACCCTTTAAAAATATCCATGGAGAAAGTGTTGAGCACAGGCAAATCAAATTTTAATGCCCTGTTTGCAAGGAGACAACTACTGGTTGAGTGCTTTTGGGTTTTACAATATTAATGTATGTGACTTAAGTTCACCCATTATCACGGACAAGGAGTAAGTCATAAACTTGTCACATACTTGTCAGAATATTAATAACGTAAGTGCATTATATTATATTTTCATGTCACACTCTCTCCTTAAACCTTTGGTGTTGGATGTTAGATAGCATTACCGTGATGCATTATTGTATCATATTCTAACATATTCATACTGATGCAAAGATAAGATGTTCTCAAACCCCTGAGCACCTGCTTCCTTAATGGTCTCTACTTTTTCTCCATCTGGTAATGATCATAAATTTCACAAAGTGGGAAAAGTGATAGTTTTACAAGGATGCTTCTGTTTCAAGCAACTGAAATGATGTAAAACTTTCCATTGTAATGGCAGTAAAATTACCTTTATTTTATATAAATATAGAATACGGACCATGTAATTCTTCATAAGATTTCCTAAGACTACAAGGTGAAGCAGTTTAAGTGAATGAATCGGCATGGGATTTCATTTCAGAATAATACATTTCATAAAGTGCCACTCTGCGAAATGGCTGTGCTCCTACTGACCGCAGACATCCATTGAGGCTATTCAAGCAAATTAGATTCAAGTCAATTTTATTTGTATAGTGCTTTTCACAACATACTGTTTCAAAGCAGCTTTATAGAAAATTGTACCTTAAAGCCCCAATGAACAAGCCAAAGGCGACTGTGGCAAGAACAAAAATCCATAAAATGTTTAAGAGAAAAGCTTCCTTGAGAGGAACCAGATCCTTCTGGAAAAAGCCATCCTCCTCTGACAAAGCACATATGTGACCCTGTACCACAAAACCAGTTATAAGGGTCAATTTTTCGAAGCTGAATAAATAAGCTTTCCATTGATGTATGGTTTGTTAGGATAGGACAACATTTGGCCGAGATACAACTATTTGAAAATCTGGAATCTGAGGATGCAAAAAAATCAAAATATTGAGAAAATCGCCTTTAAAGTTGTCCAAATGAAGTTCTTAGCAATGCATATTACTAATCAAAAATTAAGTTTTAACATATTTTTAATGGAAATTTACAAAATATCTTCATGGAACATGATCTTTACTTAATATCCTAATGATATTTGGCATAAAAGAAAAATCAATAATTTTGACCCATACAATGTATTTTTGGCTATTGCTATAAATATACCCCAGCGACTTAAGACTGGTTTTGTGGTTCAGGGTCACATATTACAATAATGACAAATATTATAGTTACATATTATATGTACAGTAAGTGTGCTTTGTATATGCTATTATGTGTTCATTGAATAAATCTACTCACCATTGACTCCCACTGTATAGACAAAACAAAACATTTGTCAAAATATTTTCTTTCATGTTCCACAGAAGAAAGAAAATGATGACGGAATTTTTATTTTAAAATTAAATAAAATTAATTGAATTGAATTTAGACAACGCTTAAATTGCTTAAAGTATAAATGCTTCAGATCTATACTAAAACACTTGGGAGTAATGCAGTCAGTTAAGAATGCAGTCAGTTATGTCAGAAGCATCCTCTGACATATAAATATTATATGTCAGATGGTCAAGGAGCAGTCGATCATGGAGAATGGAACATTACTCTGTTTTAAGTCAGATGCCAGTGAGAGTCTAACCCAATTATGATCTGCTCACAGCCTCCATAGTGATTGGGAAGTGGTGGTGTGAGATGGAGCCGTGTCTGGAGGGAGAGGAATGCAAGACTCTACCAGATAACTCCGGCTGGATGTGCTACTCTGGAAACAAAATCAAAACCACCAGGGTAAGATTTAGAGCAACCAAAAGCATTTATTGTGTTACTTTAGCTATTGTATTTAACAATACAAGACTCTTGGTGGTGCAGCGTGTGATTGCATGATGTTAATAAGTGTGTGTGTGTGTGTGTGTGTGTGCCCCATCTGTGTGTGTGTTTTTTTTTTTTTTTTTTTATTTCACTGAAATATTTTATAAATAAAAAACAGAATACAGAACAATAAATAAACAACCCTCCTACACCTGAATGGCTGCAGGCAGGTGTGTTGGACGCTGGAAGTATTATAAAAATAGAAGAGCTGCACACTGCTGGATCTCGCTAGAAATCCAATATTTATTAAAATAGCAGTGATTCGGTCATGTAACTTCCCTCAAGCAGAAAATGACACTCAAATAATTGTTTTAAATAAAAGTAGCCAATCAGAGTGTTTCTTCGGGTAACCAATAAGGTCATTTCTATAGCAGATGTGAATTTTTTTTTCTTTTTTTACAGAATACCCACCCTTACACATCCTTGTAGCAGATGTAATGTTACTGCAAGCTCATAACGGAGGAACTTTACGAAGGTTTTTGATATTATTCCTTCTTTCTGTCACAATTGTGATTCAGTCAAGGCATAAAATGACTGATAGAAAACAGACAAATTATGGATTTCAGAGGCATAGGCACTATGGTCCATTTGTGAACTTATAATAAATTCTGATAATTCCAATCGCATTTAGTTAGCCTGTTTGTTATGTTGCTGCAAATTATTCAAACATGAAATTCATTCTCAGATTGCTTTCGTATTACTCATCCAGCTTTTATTTACTGTACTTTTTCAGGGAAACATCCAAGATGACAAGCTGAATTAAGTCTTCTCAACTCTAAACCAACAGACATGTGTTTAATGACTTGAAATGGAGTCGTCTGCTCATAAATCCATCTGTCTCTGAGTAACACGGACACCAGACTTTCTAAGAAAATCTTTGTGGCCGTTGAACACTGCTGGTTCTTTCGTTGTTTTGTTTTTGTTTGACATTTGTCAAATATTTGTTTCCTCTCAATGAGTCCTGGATAATTAAACTCGTATCCCTTTGTGTGGAGTGCACTCAAACCAGCTATACCTTGCCTGAAATAATCTTCAACTGTAATATTCTTGGATGTTCCTATGTCTCCGCTACTGTATGTAGTGAAACTGGCTTCCTGTTCATGTGGATTTTCAGAAGGGGATTGATCCTCATCAAGCAAGTTTAATTAAGACACTTTGTGCATCGACTGTGAGCAAAATGCTGAGGAGCACATGTACATGGAATGACCGATCCAGTCCGGAAATGTTCCTCCGTTTCCTGGAACGTTATATCAGATTCAGAATGAATTCTGGTGGTGATACTAAAACCAAATAAGTCTTCAGCATGATTTCTGTAAAGCTGTAAAAATAGGTGAAGGAAATGTTTTACATAAATAAAATGAATTCAAAACAGGTGAGAATGATGTTACAAATGTATTTGACTTACAATAAACAATAATTTAATGTGAATTTAATGGGTGGGAAAGTGCAAAGGAACAGTCTTGTTTACATATTCTTGTCCGCTGTTCTGTTGATTGGTTAAAGATGCTGTTTTTATTATTATTTTTGGGCTTCAGTAATATTTTGACAAATTGAGTCATCAAGGCTTAGCTGAAGTGTTCTGAGAATTTACATTTTTAATGAAAAACTAATAGACCGTCACTTTGGCTGCAGCAATATATAAAAGTTGTGGATTTATTACTGAAGTTAATGAAGCCTGATTGAAATATGCTGGTGCATGCACATATAAAACACCATGACATTTAAATATTCTGAATCAAATTCATTTTCCGTTGTTCAAATATACCTTCATTAAATGGTACAAGACCTATTAAGACCATTCTGTATATTGGGGGATCTGGTCATTTGAATGGACCCGAGGTAAGCGGGTGGAGGGTCTTTGAATGTGTAGGCAAGCAGTCCACACTGAAGGACACTGTGGAAATTCTGACACCCGCTGGGACATTTACCTGTGGTTTACATTCAGAAATAGTCCTCTCTGCTCGAAGCAGCTGAGGGCCAGAGCACGCACTCACTCTGAATATGTAGCTCCAGCATTTTAAGCAGGGAGCCGTGAACATAAGAGCCTCCGTGTTGCTGTCGGCATGCAGAAAGGAGGCTCTAACTACAGGCTGAGTGAATACAGATCACTACATTTACAGTCCTCCGCATGGGACAGCAGAGGATGAACTTTAGCCCTCACCTTCAGCGGAGCTTTAGTGGAATTTCAAACAGTTGACTACAGAATATCAGAGTGGAAAATGAATACAAGGAAATCTTCAGCAAATATCAGCATTATCTCTGACAGGCTGAGCTTTTGCTAGTATGGTTTTTGCTAAATTGAAAAAGTTATTTTGTGTTTTTGAAAAGATCAAGAGGAATCACAGTATTATTTTTAAGAACATAAATGGAAGGAATAAGCTGATCTAATTCCAGTCTTCAACATCATTATACAATAGTTTCCGTGCTCAGATTTGATTGGCTGAGCAGTGTTCCAAGAGTGCTGATGATACAGCCCAGCAGCACTGGGACTTTTCACTGTTTGTATCACTCCACTTGTCTGTGTTTGCATGTTCAAAACATTAATTGTGCATTAATAGTGGGGATTTCACAGTGTTTCTTCCCGCAGTTCACATCATCGCGAGAGAGGGCGAGTCACTGAATGATTCATTCAACCAATTTGTTAAAAATGGATTCATTCAGAAACATAACAAGTGACTGTCTTTATAAGTGAATCACTAAATCATTTAAACTGATTCATTAAAAACAAGTGACTCATTAAATCATTTTACTCAAGTTTGATCAAAAGAACTGATTCATTCAGGAAATGGTTGTGTCTGAATTTGCATACCCTAGTGAGCAGGTGCTTCTTTAGAATAAGTACTTTGCGACCGTTAAAAAATATGTTCTATATAGTATGTGTAATCCAGTCGTAGGCCTTTGTCATGTTATCACTGTCATGAGACCTACTAGCATCAGTTGCATTGCTTTACTGCCATTCACAACTCCTCTCCCGTGGCCTCATGGGATAGTAAAGTGTTCACCTGATGCAAACTTCAGAAATTTACTAGAAATAGTGTTTTGTTTTGTTTTGTTTTGAGAAATAAAGACATACTGATCTTTTCAAATACGTTTTTTTTTTGCCTACTATATTGTAGGGATGTATGCATATTTATATATAGCTACTGTCTTTATGTGTGAATCATAAAACAATGATTCATTTAAGAGTTAAATATGTGCCTGCTGTAATGAGTGAGTCACTGTATAGTTTACTCTGATTCGTTCAAAAGCACTCATTCAGGGACACCATTGCTAGGAAATGATTCTGATTTGACTGATTTTCATATTTTCGTTGGCAGAGCAAGTAACTGACAATACTGTGTCTAATATTCATGTTTCTTGTTTGCTGAACTGTATAAAAGCAATATCTCCCACTGCAGCCTCGTTCATATGGATGAATCACAGCCCTTCTGCCTGTGTGATATTGCTTCATTATAAAACACCTACCAATTTTTCAGATTTCTATCTACTGAAACTGGACATTTTGCCACATAAGTTAGCCATTAAATCATCAAAACTCTCAAACAAGCAATTCCTTCTGTAATTTAATCACATGCATATGGGTAGTTGACAACGCGTCCATGGATCTTTTGAATCAGTGTCATAATTTTATAAAGGAAAGTGTATATGTGGGTCACCATTTCTTTAAAAAAATAACTTTTTAATCACATTTTTGCCTCTGTTAGTTCATGTTAAATGGTTAAATAGTTGAAACAGTCTGTCAGTAATATGAGCTCACAAAAACAGCATGCATAATAATTATAACAGAAAAGAAAAATAATTACAACAGAAAAAAGCAGTTAAACACAGTTGGGAAAGTGTAGCATGTCACACCACAGGACATTAACTTTGCTGTAGTGTTTCATGTCAATAACCCATACACATATTTCCCAGGATTTCTACCATGTCCTTTTACCACTTCCAACCTACAGTGCTTTTATTTTTTTTATTTTTTTGGAAAGGCAAAGGTATTCATATGCACTGTGAGTTTTTCAGAAAGTGTTGGAAAAAACATAACACACATGCTGATGGTTGCTTGTTGAGCTCTTTGAGGTCCAGCTAATGAGGCTATTAAGAATTCAAAGCAGTTTCTGATACAATGAAGCCGCTGGAGCTTTGAAGGATAAAAGCAGCGATGTCCTCCTCACTGCCACAGAGTTAACTGCACTGATATTTGCTCAGAGAGACAATTCTAGGTCTGGAAAGTCTGAAACGCTCCTGTGAGGCTCTCTGTCTTCTCTGCAAGTCTCAATGTCATTACAAAAAGTCATTTATATAACACTTTAAAAGGACGGCAAACGAGATTGCAAATTGGATCCTTTTGAAAATAACTAGCTGGTATTTTTTTCTATGAAAGATTCAAAAGAAATACAGAAAGCACTAACTGAAATTCTCATGTATGAAATGAAATAATTGATCTTAAAAAGGATAGTTTTATGAATAGAGGACTCATATGTTTGCCGGAAACAATAGTTTGATGTTAAAAACATCCTAATGATAGATTTGTTTATTACAAACATGCAGATTTTCACTTCACAAGATGTTAATTGATGGACTGGAGTTGTGTGGATTACTTGTGGTGTTTTTATCAGCTCTTGTTCTGACGGCACCCATTCACTGCAGAGTGTCCATTGGTGATGTAATGCTAAATTTCTCCAAATCTGTTCAGATTAAGAAACAAACTCATCATCTTGGATAGCCTGAGGGTGAGTAAATTTTCACATTTTCATTTTTGGATGAACTATTATTTAAAAAAACAAATTACAGGGTCAACAATGTAACAGTGTCTGCTTACTTGTGTTTAACTGCAGCATGAGTGCTGATCACAACATGAGCTCCCTTGTTTTTGTTGGTAAAGTCCCTCTTTTTGACTCTAATTTAACCTGACATCAGGAGCTTCTTACACACCCTGCTCTCAATCACAATTATTAATGACCAGCAGAGAGTCAGGAGCTGTCAACGTGTGCTGTTTGGAAATGTGCATGCAAGCAGCAATAAAATCACTACCTCTGAGTCGTTCCAAATCAAGTAACGGGTAACACTGAATAATTCAAAGAAGAAGAAAAAAAGCAGAGATTTCCAAATTTGAAACATGTTTAAGGCATGCGCAAATGCTCACAGTTCAAATCTCACAGTTGTCTGAGTTGTTTTTTAAAATGCCAGCCATCATTATTCTTTTTTAATCATGGTTCCTGAAGATCAGAACAGCACAGGCTGTGGTGATAGACTATGCGAACCCAAGACTCGCTCTCACCTTTCATTTTCACCTTCTCGCGTCACTTAATTCACAGCCTCCTCTCACACCCAGTTACACAAACAAGACAGGTATCTCTCAACTGCAAACATACACACACCAAAACACTTGATCAGAAGGAGCAGCCAAAAAAGGAAATCACCCAAAGCATCCTAGACAGCTCATTATAGAGTCTGAGTAGTTCTTCATGAAACACAAAACTTAAAGCGAGCACAATTTTGAGGTAATAGTGAAATAAATAAATAAACAAACATGTTCAATGAGGTTAGAACACCCCAAGCCTTTTTCAATAAGGTCAATTTCTTTATTTTATTTATAATTTATTGTGCATGGGGCTCAGTTTAGTGTTGTAATTATTGGTTCAAGTAACAAACTGTGCTGTAAACATTTTTAGTCAATAAAAATCATCACAAATGAAAATGTATAGGGCTGTAAAAACAATTTACCACTTTAAAATAATAAGCACACTCCAACTCTATTCAAAGCCACATGCAAAAGCATATTCCCTCACAAGAAGAACATCCCAGCAGATGTGAAGCAAAACAAGACTTAATAAAACAAGAAACAAAACAAAACAAGTTTAATAAAAACGATCAACCAATCAGTTTTGTCTGCGTTGCTCTACACATCAATAAGAGTGAGTTTTATGATTAATGTGCATGTAAAAACATACTAAATAGAATACATTTCTGGACTTTGACTCAATCCATGTATGGAAACTCGGATACATCTTTCTAAATCATACAAAAAGACAAATCCCAAAACAGATGGAGCGCATCATTGCTCAATTAATTTTGCTAAACACCTGTACAGTTAATTCATTTCCACTGACTGGACGATTCTCAACTTAGAAGTTCTCCAATTCTCTAAATCTATACTATAACGTATTTACAGTTAATTGTAAACTACATTCAGTTTGCAATTAAAAGAATAGCAATTCAGTTTGTAATTAAAAGAAAATGTACTCAGCCTCAGGTTATCCAAGATGCAGATGAGTTTGTGTTTTCATCTGAGAAGATTTGGAGAAATTTAGCGAAAAAAAAAAAGCCATTAGTATTTTCACCAACAAAAATTGGTGTGACCACCCTTTGCGTTTAAAACAGCTTTTGTCCTTGGTACACTTGCGCATTGTTTTTCAGGCAGCTTTGTAGGTATGTTTCTTCAAATGTCTTGGAGACATTGCCACATTTTGATTGTATGGAAAAGAGCAGCTTGGATCTTCTTTTGTGTTTGATGGTAGAAAGTCATACAAGTTGGGAATGAGGATGAATAAACAATGACAGAATCTTAATTTATAGATGGACTATGTCTTTAATAGCACACAGATGTGACATTATGTGTTCCTCTCCTTCCTTTCCTCTGTCCCACTGTGAGTATGATGTAAGTAAGGATTTGTGGTTATTATCTGACCAATGAACACACATTTTGGATATGTTTTGTCCCCACATCCATTCCCGCTAATTTTCTCCTCCAAAAAGATGGATCCAACTGAACCTGGTAATGGTAGATTGCTGGTCTAAAATAGTTCATAATTTGAATTTTTTTATTTCCCACAGAGCCAAACAATTTTCTCTGTCTTCCTCCGCTCACTGCTGGATGTAATAAGATGCTGGCATAGCGTGTTGGCATGAGTTCCTCATTTCCTTATTTTAAAGTATGCGAACAATGGCACATCGAGTTATTCAGCTGCACTCTTATTATTGACGATGCCACGCAAACAGATGAGTGTGAATGTAAAACTCAAGCACCCCACCATTAAGTTCATTATGGACGTCAACACCGTTTAAATTCAAGCAGGTATGCTTACATCCACTGTCCTCGGTTCTTCTAAAACACTACAGGAGAAAGCTGGCCCTCCCCAGGGGACAGATGCCAGGCACGGCATGCATAAGTAATGCCGTTTTCTGAATCTCCACACAGAACAATTACTCTCTCCAGGAGAGTTCTGTGTCATTAAAATTGAAATGTGTTTATTTTGAAAAACATTCAAATTCATCTTCCCTCTTGCCACTTAAAACTGTCAGGCATAATTTTATGGGCACTGCAGAGCGAAAAGGTGAAAAAATACCCACATTCCTCATGGTTAAATAACGATACAGAGAGACACCTCAATAATGAATGTTTATTCATTAACACTTGAAAAAATCTCAGAGTTTTACATTTGGAATGTAAACCAAATTAATTCCGTGAATTGTCATGCGTCTTAAATAGCCTCATGATAAATCATTCAAAACAGTCAGCGGTGACCCTGGTGTGAATTAATAACAGACTGGAACCTGCAGTGATCCCCAACATGTGTTTGTGTAAGCAAACTAATACATAATTTCATTTTTTACAGTCATAATTTGAAGCTGAGCCCCCTATGTCCCCAAACCCGGAAAAAAAGGAATCAAAATTTTAGTAAACTCTAATATGAAAATGACCTACAACTCAGGAGCACATGGGCTCCAGCATAGTCTGGTTCTCCATCTGTCTTTCCTCACACATCCAGATAAACACACACACTCTCACACTCCTCTGTTCTATTTCCATATCAAACAGGGCTTGTTTTGCTCTAAATTTCATGTTTACTTGCCTCCACTCGCAGGTGGTGTGTTAAGTCAGTCCGATGAAAATGAAGAGACAGGCAGTGTGT